AGTGGGAGGGGGGTGCTGAGCCACAAATGGAAAAGCCTGAATCTTTGAACCACCACGCGAGGAAGGGCCACCCACGGAACTCCTGCATTGGGCAGTCAGTGAGCGAGGCCTAACCCATTGTGTTGGTATGTGACTGGCAGCGGGATTATGCCAACTACTACAGGCCCTTGTACTTGGAGTGGGAACTCTCTTTCCCATGTATCCACCTGCTCACTGCCCCCTTCAGGTCGCTGTTCCAGGGGCTCTTCAGTGGGTCCCGACCTGCCACTCTATTTAAACAGCACCCCTCCCACACCTACTCCCTGGGACGAGTGCCCCCCTGGCTGGCACCATGTCCTCCACTGCACTTGTTACCACGTGACAAACCACTGATTTCACAGTTTTATCCCCCTTCCCCACACACCATGAACGCTCCACACAGGCAGAGATCTGGGTGTTCTCTTCACATGGTATCCCCAGTGCCAAGAACAAAGAGCCTGGCCAAGCAGGTGCCCGATAAATATTTGTCGGTGGAGCGGCCAAAGTGGCGGGCTCTGATTGGCAGCCAGTCCCAGCCCGTGCCCTTGAAGGGGCCACCCTACAAGGCATCGCTCTGCTTCCTCAGGCAGGAGTGGACTTGTCGTGTTAGTGATGCTTCTCAGGTGGTGCAGGCCTCCAGCTGCCCCCGGGCCTGGACTCCGCATTCGTCTCCTTACTGAGCACCTGTGTGTATGGGGCTGGGAAGTCTCAGAATTGGGTGAGGCCCTGGGTCAGTGCCCAGGGCAGGGAGAGCTTCCCAAAGATGTGCTCAATGAGTGGGAACGTTCAGGGGCTCCCCAGAGGGGCCTGGCCACCCCAGAATATGAACCGGCCACCCCCCAGACTTCACTCTCATCCTTGCTTTGAGAAGATGGACCCAGCAAGCCTGCCATCCCCAAACCCCAAGCCAGGAGGTGGGGGGATGAGCAGATCCATGCCAGCACTGTGCTGTTTAATCTTCACAACCATCCTATGAGGTAGGTGGTGTTCTTCTGCCCATTTTACAGATGCAGAAACTGAAGCACAGAGAGGCCTAGAGGCTTGCCCAAGGTCACTCAGCAAGTAGCAAAGCACCGTTTGGAACTCAGAATCGCAGCCCAGAAGGCAGCTCCCAAGCACCATCTGTGTGTGTGTGTGTGTGAGCACACACCCGAGCCCCATCCTCTACAGTGGTCAGCAAACTTGCGGCTCGGCAAACTGCAGCTCGCGAGCCACATGCGGCTCTTTGGCCCCTTGACATAATGTGCACACAGACTCAGCTGTGCAAAGACATACCTTTGGGAATGGGACCCAGGGAGCTGCTTCCTCCGGACACGCGGACGGCACCCCCTAATGTGAAGCCCTCTCTGGAGGGCGTCTCGCAGCCCTGGACAGAGACCAGCGTCCAGGCTGACGGCAGACAGAGCATGTCTCCACCTGAGCCGCAGCTTCCTCGGCAGTGGTGCAGGCGTCGCCCCCGGGTGTGAGCTCCTCCCAGCCCTGCTGTCCGGCATCAGGAGTTCTTGCCCCCGGGGCATGGCCCCCACGTGCACCCCCCAAAAGTGACAGAGCCTTGCCCCAGAAGGACATGCACCCAACATGCACACACACGGTTTTGTTCACAACTAGGGTCCCTGGAGCCCAGGTCGAGAGCCCCTGCTTTGGGGCAGCCCCCCAAAGCCTACATTTCCTGGTTTGCAGTCTTTGGAAGTTGTGGGACTGCGTGACCCCCCCGAACGGTTCTGCAAAGATCCCTCTGGCTGGAAGGCAGGGTCCCCTGGCCGGTGTAGGCTCAGTGATCCCTCCAGTCCCCCGAGGCCACACTGGCTTTGCCTTCAGGGATCGAAGGTGGGCTGGTACCTGGCACACAGAGAGGCAGGAGTGAGTTCTTCCCTCTGCCCACGGGCACCCACCCATCCTCTCTCCATGTCCTCAACTCCCTCTCCCTTCGGGCCCCCCTCCAGCAGCACCTCCTCTTGGAAGCTCCTTGTTCCCTCCTCTGGGTACACCTTGAGCCCCTCCAGCACAGGGTGAGTCTCTCTCTCCCCAGGCCCTGGCCGTGGCGGCACGTGGACGGTGCACCACGGTGTGGCCAGGCTAGCAGGATGGAAGGAGGGGTGCACGGGGGCAGCTCCCAGCCCCCAGGGCTTGTTCCAACCCCGTTCTTTCTCACTCCGGCCCTCAGTGACCCCATGTGCCTCCTGGAGGCCGGACCCCCATGGGATGCAGCCTCAGGCCTCTTGGACTGGAGGGGAGGAGTCTGGAGGGGAGCGTTTCAGGGACAGGAGGGTCCTCACAGGCCCCCAGGTCACATTGGGAAGCAGTTGCCACCCTGAGTGGAGGCATAGAGGCCCCTCAGCACTCAGCCCACTGCCCCTTCCTGGATCTGTCCCTTGGTTTTCCCATCTGGGACCTAACGGGTCCGAATCCCAGGGTATGGGAGGTCCTCTAAAAAGGCGATGGGAGCAGAGGGCGGGCAGGTGTGGTTACAGTCCTTGTGGCCCTGGGGCCCAGCCCAGTCAGGGGTCAGGCCTGAAAGGTGAGCTGAGTGCGCTGACCAGGCCAGGAGTGCAGGAGGCTGCAGGTGTCCTGCCGGAGGCCCGGACAGTCTGGCCTGGAGCCGGCCACGGGGATGGATTATGTGGTTCCGGGTTGGGGGTTGGGGGAGAGCAGCGGAGCCCGGCCTCTTAATGACAAATTTTCTGCTGAGCAACTACAAATATTCGCTGTGACTTTGGACAGAGTCTGAAAAGGACTTCCCTTCCTCCCTTGGCGGTATCATTTGTCTTGTTTTGAGGCCGGGAGATTGCAGGCACGAACTTACAGACTAAAGTTTGTCTTAATTGCTGTGGTGTCACCACCTCGCTGGCAGATAACAGCGCAGTGAACGAGCCGATGGGGCTGAGCCCTCCAGGTCCTTCTTCTAAAGTGAGACAAATCTCCCTCCTTTGAGCCCAACAGTCCATCGGCAGCTCTGTCATTTATTTATCTCCCTAACGGTTCGCATTAACTTGCAAGGGATAAAAAGTCTCTCCCGCCCGAAGACTTAGTTAAAAGCATCCAGTTGAGGGGAGTCAGGCTGTGCTGCTGTCCTTCCTAAGAAACTGGTTTTATCCCCCCTTTTGAGGGGGCCTTGGGGGGAACAGAGAGAGCAATGGGGGCAGCAGGATGGGGAAAGGGGCGTCGGGGTGCAGAGTTCCCGTGTGCAGATCACCTTAGTTCTGAGAAAGAGAAGAACTGCTGTATTGCGATATACACCTGCCTCCTCCGGGCCTCCCAGCCCCGTGCAAGGTGGGGGCATGGTTACCCCACCTCTGTCCCCACACCCATGTCCCCATCACCGAGGGCGATGCTCTGCTCCCTGAACCAGCCGAGTCCTCTCTGCCCCTGAGCCACTGCACGAGCTCTGCCCTCGGCCCAGACCCCTTTCCCGGCCACCCCTCTGTCTCCTGCCCCAGCTGAACTCCAAGGCTCAGCTGAAATGCAGTTCCTCCGGGAGGTCTTCCCAACACCCCACCTGGCCCATCTGGGGGCCCCAGGGCTCCCCATCGCGGCCCACCTCACTGTACTGTCCGTTTCCACT